AGGCGGGTAGTGGTCGCCCCAATACTAGTAGTCTCAATCAAAAGGTACTGGTATCCTCAAATCCTCAACATAAGCCGAGGCTACACTAATCAATAGACAAGGACTAAGCCCGAGATACAAGTAGCAATTGGGAGATTGTAAATGGCTTTTGATTGCAAAAGTCTTCCATAGATCTAAGAATCTGCAGTGTCATCGTCCTCTGAAATTGCTTGTAATGGATCTGATTTCTTTGGCATAGTTTTCCTTTGCTTGCTGTACGTCCGTCTTGGTGTCGCCCTTCGAGCAGTCACCGCTCCTCCTCCTCCTCCTCCTCCTGATGAGGAATCATCCAACGTTGTGAATTGAGATGCTATTTTGTCCTCTTCATCCGCAGCAAAGCTATCTTGTGAGCTCGCGAAGCTATTCCCCCCAAAGCTTTCCGCAAAACTGTCGTCCATTAAGGAATCACTGCTGTCACCGAATTCATGCCTTCCTTTGTGTACCGTCGTCATGTTCTTCCAGTTATCACCAATCACCAGGGAGCCATCCAACTCGGAACTCAGTGATCTTCGCGGCGCATCTTTTCCCAGTATTTTGTTCAAGTTGTTGTCTTCATCGTCCGGACATTGTCGCCGTGTTCTTGGCATGTGGGAAGCGTTGCCGTCTAACGATCCGTCTAACGAGTCGTTCGCTGCTTTCTTGCTGTCTTCCGACGATGCACTGGCCATTTTCAATCAACTGTTGTTTGGATACAATGGATAAGGTAGGTTCGATTGAACAAGGAAGATCAGGACAGGAAGATCCGCCAAAGAAGAAACAGCAGCAGCAGTTGAAAAGGAAGATGTGATGAACAAAGCCCGTCCTAAAGGTGATAACGATGCTGTTCGGGTTTGCTGAAGCCTGCTGAAGTCAAGGAAAACACTAGATAGATCAATGATGGCAATCAAGCAACCAACCAGCCACACTTCAAGAGCCGCTCTCTGGATTTGATTTGTCCCTTTGCTTTTGATAGAAGCACCTGGGCCATTGAGCTTGGGTGCGTGTGGCAACGGCCAATCCAGGCCAACGTGCCCAGATCGCTGGGGAGTGGTCATCATTTTTAGGGTTAAAAACACATTTCGTAAGACTCTTTTGGAGTTAGAGTTAATTAAGCATCCAAGAAGGACAGCCAGCTCCCACCAATACTGGTGTCTGCTACGGTAGTAGTCTGGTACTCTAGAGGTACACACAGCCACCATGCATCTGGCTGCTCTGGACAATCACTCCTACCAGTAGCTAGCTAGATTGTGCTTATCCTATTCATTGAGGGCTTGAGTAAGTAACTTACTTCTTTGTAAGAGTTAGGAGATTAGGGAACGCTAAGCTGCGTCATCTGTGGCTATTAATAGCTACTAGAACCCCATCTATCTTTGGAACACAACCCGCCCTTACATCTCACCCGGGTCTCCTTGTGGTTTGCCCATTTGTTTTCCGGCACGCATCACCTCATCCACCAACAAGAGTTGGCTGGCCAAGACGGTTGCGAGGTACAAGGATTGCCGTTTGACACGCACGTTGTCCCAGACACCTTCATCGGCGGGGAGCATGGGTTCCCCGGTGGTACAATTCAAGCCGACGGGTAGCTCGGCAGCCGCCCGTTCCTCCTCGAGCTTGAGGATGGTTTCTTGGACATCAAATCCCGAGTTTTCCGCCAATGTCTTGGGGATGATCAATAACGCTTCGGCAAATGCCTCCACTCCCAACTTTGCCTTTCCCTTGGTGGAGGGCACAACTTTGCTGCGTAAGTGCATGTATGCGGCCAATTCAAAGGCACCACCTCCGGGGACGACGGCGGCATCTTCAATGGCATTCTTGACGGCTCGTAGGCCATCTCGAATGGCATCCTTCATTTGATCCATGACGAGTTTATTCGGTCCCTGCAAGAGAAGCGTGCACGATTTGGGGTGTTTGCAGTCTTCCACAAAGGTGAATTTGTCGTCTCCAAAGGTGACTTCCGACACCTTTCCGGCGTATCCGAGCATGGATTCTTCCATATCTTCCAGACTGTGAATGGGCGATCCTCCACATGCCAATGTGAGTCGTTCCATGTTGCGTCGTTTGGCCCGACGCAAACAGAGGATTCCTTCCTTGGCAAACATGTCCAAACTCATGGGATCGATTCCTTTTTGATTAATCATGACAAAGGATTCTCCTTCCTTGCAGACCTTGCGTTTGAATTCGACAATCAAACGGCATCGTTCGTCGAGCCATTTGCGTTCGGATTCGACGAGTTTTTCTCGTTCTTCGGCATTGGAGTAGAAGAATCCCGACTGGACTTCGGTCTTTTCGTACTCCAAGGAAACGTTGGCGGTCATGATGTGGCAATTTTTGACTAGCGTGGGCATGTTGGGATGACGAGCTCCATGATCCAGGACCAATCCCTTGACGGGGATACAAGCCGTGGGATTTAATAGATCTTCGGGTTGTTTGGATTCTTCGTCGTGGATTGTAGTGGGTGTGTAGGTGGAATGCGGCATGTTGATGATTTCCACGCGATGCAAATCGAGGGGTGTCTGCTGCTCTCCACCCGCTTCCATGTCTCCGATGGTCTGAATGGAATCCACCACGGCAGAGGCCATCTGATGCAATACATATAATATATTTGTGAAAAGAGAAAAACAAAAAAAGGAAGCAAAATGAGAGTGAGTTGAGTTGCCTTATGTCGTAAGACATTCATGTGAAGAAATTATGGATTGGAATAGAGCATACGCACCGAATCGGCCAAAGAGGGATCCAATTTGGTTCGTAGCGACGTGAGAGCAACATGATGGAGTAATTCTCGATCATGAATGAAGCCATCCACGCTACTATCGGGGACTAAGGCAAAGTCCGTCTTTAAGAATTCGAGAACGGCTTCTCGTGCCAATTCCAATCCATCCACAATGACACGAGCGTGCAATCCTTCGCGACAATACCGATCCGCCTGTTGCAGGATACTACCACACAACAAGACCGTCGAAGTGGTCCCATCACCCGTCACGTCGTCTTGTGCCGTGGCCGTCCGCGCAATCATGGCAGCGGTGGGATGTTGGATTTGCATTTCCTTGAGCAACACAAGACCGTCTTTGGTCAGTTTCAATTGACCGGCTCCTCCGACCAACAATTTCAGCGTGCCCTTGGGGCCCAGATTGCTTTTGAGCACATTCTGAAGACCCACCGCGGCGGCCACATTCACAATGCGAGCTTGAGACTTGGACACAATCTCCGCGTTAGGAGACAACTCCTGGAGGCGCATAGTAGACGACATGGTCAGTCACAAGATAGATAGATTACTGGATAGCGCTAAGCTTTCTCTCTTAGCTAGCCAGAAGGATAGTGGTCTCTTCCAAACAAGAGGAAAGAAAAATACGAGCCAATGCTGCGAAAGAAGATGTGGCTGTCGTTGGGCTTCGCGAAGGATCCATTTTTGAGTCACCAACAGGACTGCTTTGGACAAAACCCAGACAAATTTGCGATTTCCGTTTCATCACAATTCATATTTTATATTTTTGATTCCTCAAAATTCCAATTTTGCTGATTTCTCACAATTACAATATCACCATCTTCTCACAATTCCATTTGGGGATGGGCAAATCTTGCAATAGCCCTGTATTGTAATGGAGTGTGACTCGCCAAAATCAGTTAAAAAGACGAAATTTGTATTTTTGCAGGAAGGTAAATTTAATTGGATTGGATTGCATTGAATTGGATTGAATTGGATTCCAAATAGTACTGTTATTTATATAGTAAACTGTAATTCAATGCAATCCAATCTAATCCAATGCAATCCAATCAAATCCAATAGAGAAAAACAGCCAAAGTGAAAGATTGGCTTGGCACACACAATTTTTTGCAAAAAGGCTCTAACAAATTCAACACAGAGCCATGGGCGAGTTTGCTCATCCCCTTTCTCCAACTTGTCACAATTACACTTTTCACCATCTTCTCACAATTCCATTTTTGGTCATCTTCTCACAATTCCAATTTTGCCAACTTCTCACAATTCATATTTTGAATATCCGATTTCTCACTATTACAATTATCAGTTTTCGATTTCTCACAATTCATATTTTTGCCAACTTCTCACAATTACAATTTTCGCCAAATTCTCACAATTCATATTTTCGATTTTCGATTTCTCACAATTACAATTATCAGTTTCGATTTCTCACAATTCATATTTTCGCCAACTTCTCACAATTCATATTTTCAATTTTCGATTTCTCACAATTCCATTTTTGGCCATCTTCTCACAATTACAATTTTCACCTACTTCTCACAATTCATATTTTCAATTTTGATTCCTCACAATTCCAATTTTTGCTGAGTTCTCACAATTACAATTTTTAATTTCGTATTTCTCACAATTACAATTTTCGCCAACTTCTCACAACTCATATTTTCAATTTTCGATTGCTCACAATTCCTATTTTGCGGAATTCTCACAATTCACAATTCCAATAATTTTGCTTTGGCAAAGGAGAGGTGTATTGGTAGCTTCTGTAGGTTCCTTGGACGGAGGTAGCTACTGTACCGATACACAGGTTCCTTGGGATGGAGGTCATTTGGAGATTCTGAAGTGGGCTCCAGAGAATGGTTGCCTGTGGAATGAACAGACATGCTTTGGTGCTGCAAGCTGGCTAGCTAGTTAGAAATGGTCACTTGGATATTCTCAGAGGGTCTCGGGAGCAGGGATGCCCATGGAACGAACAGACATGTGCTCCTGCTGCCGCTGGTGGCCATTTTGAACTTCTCACTTCTCAAGTTGGCTCGGGAGAATGGATGCAAAATTTGCATCCATTGGGAACGGATACCCTGAGTACTAGACAGCTAGTAGCTTTTGGCACTTGCTAACCTACTAACGGAACCCCGCGTAGCCATAGAAGCATCAGAATCTTAGTCTAGTGCACCATAGCTACTTGGTCATTTTGAAATGCTGAAATGGGCTCATGAGAATGGATGCCCTTTGGGGTTCATAAACATGCTACAATGCTGCTCAAAACGGTGACACTGGTGAGAATGGATACCCTGATACACTGCTGGCTACGATGTATTACTAGTTAGGTAGCAACGCGTGGAAGTCAGTCAGCCTTCCTCGGGTGGTGACGTTGTGGACAGACTCGTTTAGGAAAAGAATCGCTTCAATGCTGTGGGTGCTTGCTCTTTGGGTGTTTCCGTGGGAACCACAATTTCTCCCTTGGCAGCCTTGCGTTCGGCATCTTCTTGTGTCTTTTCTTGTTCTCGAGCTTCTCTCAGTTGCATCGTCTGTTGATCCACAATATTCCGTTGTTTTCGACGCAACTTGGTCTGTATCTTGCTGCGTCCTCGTTTCTTGGTCTTTTCCTTTTTCTTTTTGTTGTTGGTCATGTTATTGGCCGCTTCTTGTTGATCTCGAATCTGTTCGAGTCGTTTGTGTGGATCCAGTTCTTCCATTCCACCAATGACATTTGGATCGAGTGCAATCATATCCGGACTGAGTTTATCCAACAACGCCCTGACTTCGGCTTCCCGTCGTTGTTTGGAATCGGAGAATGGATTGGTAAAGTACTCTGCCGTATCGAGATTGGGTTCTCCCGATCCCGGAATGACAATGGAACTCATGCCCTTGGCATGCCCAATGCCACAGACATCTTCGTAGGGTCGAAAGCGTAACGTTTCGATGGGTCCACCCCGTGGAATCAAATGATGCATGTAAGGATCTTTGGCCTTGACTTGCAAAGCGGACGGCGCCCAAATGGTGGCATGTCCGGCATGTCCAATCCCCAACATGCCCTGTTGACTGATATCCAGTGATGTGGGTGGTCCCGCCACGGTAAAGTAGGAGTGTACATGTCGATAGGTATTTCGCAAATCCCATACTTTGACTTGTCGATCGGCTCCTCCCGTGACCATGACGTTGCCTCCCATATCGACGGCGAGACTGGTAATGGCGGCTCCCTTGTGACAGAGGAACTTGACGAGGTACTTTTGCGACGCCGGAGACCAGAGTGTGACGGTCCCGTTGGTATGACCGCAGTGCAAGACGGCATTGGATGGATTTTGTCGTAGCACTACCGGATTACCGGCTCGAAGGCCTTCCCGAGAGCCACTGGGATCTCCTCGTGTGCGATGTTTGCTGACGAGTTGTCCCGTGGTAATGTCAATATACCGTAACAATGCCGGTCCTCGATCGTCAATGGCTGCCAACAAAAAGTGATAGGGCAAGAACTCCAAAGCGACGGCATCCTTGTGATCCGACAAGGAATGTATTTCGGCGCCTCGATCGTCGTAAATGGCGACGGGTTGATTGACAGCCGCCGTGGCAAGCAAACGAGCCTGATGTAGAAAACAGGCATCGCGAATGGATTGCTGAATATAGAATTCTCCTTGCGATGAGTTTACCAAGGAGCGCGTGTGGCAGTCCATAATGGCAACATGTCCTTGTGGATTGCTGGCATTGGAATAGAGGAGGGCATATCGTCCGGATCGATCGTATTTGAGACCGTGTGGTGATTCCATGGTCAAATCGTAAATGTGTCGTGCCGCATTGTCACTATTGTCATCTTCGTCATTATTGTCTTGTAGTAATTGTCGTTTCAATTCGACTTGGGACAATCCCGTGGTGCGTTCCATATCGGTCTCGGCTTGTACCATTCCCACCGTCCCGGTATGCAAAATATCCGCCGCGTCCATGGCCGCAATTTTGGCTTGCAATAGTTTGGTTTCTTTGGATTCCAATCTCGTTTCCAAAATCTTGTCATGGGCCAATCGGGCTCGTTTCTTCTTATTGTTGTTCGTCTCGTCATTGTTCTGTTGTTCTTTCAGACTTTGTGCCAAATCATGATTGTTGTTGTCATTATTAGCATTATTATCCTTCTGATTCTTCTTTTTGTTTTTCTTTTCCGTCTTTTCCTGGAGTGTCTGGATCAATTCGTGACGACGAGCTCGGGCTTCCTTGTTGGTAAAACCACGATGAATGTCGTGGGTGCCATCGGGATCAGAAACCGTAGGCCGTTCGTTGGACTTGGGTGGATCATCGTTGTTGTCATTGCCATCTTTTGCCTCCTCATTCTTTGGAGTCAAGGACTCCTGCTGCTGCTCCTGTTTGGATCGCCTTTTCTTGCCCATGGTGTGTGTCTCTTTATTCTTCCTCTTGCTTGGACTAGCTAGCTAGTCAATTGGATCTACACAGAGCAGAAATGTTCTTTGCTACGAGCCGACCTCTAAAAACATGTTGTGAGAACTGAGAAGCGCCAGCACCAAAGATCGTTGGTGGGTATTTAGTCATGAATACCCTCATTTTTGAATCCCGTGACGTAACGCACTGACGTCAATGATGCACTCAGCTCGGCTTTGCTCTTTAGAAGCTCTGTACAAGCATCAGGCAAGTTTTGTTACCAACAAGCTTAGTCAGGATGGAGAGGGAAGGTAGAGGATACATCTTTCGTTGTATTCCTCCTCATCAGTATTGAATTCAACAGAAGCTTCAGCACCAGAAATCAACCAAAACCCAGATCCTTTCTGTAGAAGAGAGAGACAAAAAGCAGGAGTTCCGATCCCATCCTTTTCAAGTTATCAACAAAATCTTCCATGATTCTGTACCACAAGAAGAGCCCACTCCTGGCAGTGATGATGATAATGTTATCGGCTCGGTTGGCAAGGGCTTTTGTCTTGCCTGGTAGGATACAATTACGTCCTGTCAGAGCTCTGGCTGTATCGACTGTCTCCAAAAGCCTCATCACTACAAGTACAAGTACTAGTAGTACTCGACTGTTTTCGGCCACCACCAGCACTTCAGCACCAACGGTCCTTCCACGAGTCAAGACCATTGACGCCAAGGATCCGACGGAAGTCCCAGTCATTGTCAAGGGATGGGTCAGAACCATTCGAAAACAAAAGACACTGGCATTTGTACAAGTCAATGATGGATCCAATCTCAAGGGAATTCAATGTGTTGTCGCATTTGATGATGTCGATGAAACTACCATGGCACGTAAGTAGCGTATTGTACGAAGAAAGAATACCAACAAAGCGTTACATAATGAATGCAAGAGAAGAAAATTGACAACCTTTACCTCATTTATTTCTACTCCTTCGTTCTTTATCATCTATCTACCTGACACAACATACACACAGAACTCGACAAGGTCACCACGGGTTGTGCCGTCTACGTCGAAGGGCCATTGGTATCGTCACCGTCCAAATCGGGAGAACAGAATATCGAAATGGCCGCCACCAAATTGACCGTCGTAGGAGACTGTCCTCCCGATCAGTACCCACTCGCCAAGAAACGACATACCATGGAATATCTACGCACCATTGCCCATTTACGACCACGGACCAATACCATTGCTGCCGTCGCACGGGTACGATCCGCATTGGCCGGAGCCATTCACGAGTACTTTCAAAAGGCAGGATTCTTGTACGTACAAACACCCCTCATTACCGCCAGTGATTGCGAAGGCGCCGGAGAACTATTTCGGGTCACCACGTTGGATTTGGACAATGTCGATGCACTGCCGCGAGCAAGTGATAATGACGATGAAGAAAATAACAACAACAGTCAAGCGGTCGATTACAGCCAGGATTTCTTTGGCAAACCCTCCTTTCTGACCGTCAGTGGACAACTGGGAGGCGAGACGCATGCCTGTGCTCTGGGAGATATCTACACATTTGGGCCCACATTTCGAGCCGAGAATAGTCAAACCACACGACACTTGGCGGAATTCAACATGGTGGAACCCGAAATGGCATTCGCTGACCTACAAGTCGCCATGGCCAATGCCGAAGGCATGGTCAAGTACGTCGTACAACACGTATTGGATAATTGTCAAGAAGATTTGCAGTTCTTTACCAAGTTTTACGACAAACAAAAGATGGCCTCGTTGGAACGATTGGTCAACGAACCGTTTGCACGAGTCTCTTACCGAGAGGCTATTGGATACTTGCAGGAAGAAATTGCCAAGGATCCGTCCAAGTGGCAGTTTCCCGACGTGGAGTTTGGAACCGATCTCGCCACGGAACACGAACGGTGGCTGGCCGAAACGAAATTCAATACGGCCACTTTTGTATACAACTATCCCAAAAGTATCAAAGCATTTTACATGAGAGACAATGAAGAGGATGGTGGTGAGACGGTTAATGCCATGGATTTGCTCGTTCCTGGAGTGGGAGAATTGGTGGGCGGAAGTCAAAGAGTAAGTTCAGTTCAGTTCAGTTCAGTCATGCTGAAGTATGCAGTGAATCTTTGGCTCAAAATATATATGTTTGTGATCATGTTGTGCAGGAGGAACGACTCGATGTCCTGGAGAAGAAGCTAGAGGAGGTTGGATTGGACAAGGAGGACTACTGGTGGTACCTGGATCTGAGACGGTTTGGGTCTGTGCCCCACGCAGGATACGGACTCGGTTTTGAGCGGCTTGTCACGTATGTTTGTGGTATTGAGAATATCAGAGATGCCATTGCATTCCCGAGATATCCGGGCAACGCAGAGTTCTAGCCAGTTCCTCCTTGATGATAACGAAAACAATTTGCCGTTTACTCGAGTCCAGCAGCACACTCGATGATCTAGACTAGCTAGTTGGCATTGGCAGCCAGATACTATATTAGCCAGCCAGATACGTACTGAGAAACGTGCAGCAGTAGAGACACGGTAAGGCAAAGGGCTGTTCCCAAGAACTGCGTCTGCGGAAGCTGCAAGGTCCGCACGAATCGAATCCGACGGGGAGACTAGCTAGCCTGAAGTTATTTTGTTCTGCCAGAGACCCTTGTAGTGCGGGTTTCTCCTTCTAGCTTGCTGATGTACCGCCAGCAATTGGCTTGGTGCGGGTCTCCTTTGAACAAGTGCAAGGAGGTTGTAACTGCAAACGAGCGCTTTTGGGAACGTTCTGCTTCCTTCATGCTCTGGGTAACTCCTGCGAGGCAGGACGAGCGTTTGATCTGGTTATGAGGTCAAAACGGAGAGCCATTGATGCGAGTGATGCAACGGCACATGTGGTGTTGATGAGCCACATAGAAAGCTGGCATCAGTCTGGCCTTCTGCTCTGATAACACCGTACACTATGAACCACCGTCCCAACAGAAAAATCCTTTTGGTGAGGAAAACTGAAGGTTCCTGGATAGACGTACAGATGTAAAGCAACCATTATTGTTCAAGATTGGGTCTCCCGGTCCTACTTCCAATCCGAGGAATTCAGTGGACACCTCAGCCAAACTCCCACCACAAAACTGATTCAATCATTCGATCCGATTTCATTCGTTAGTGTTTTCTTCAAGGATTTGCTCATCCATCACAATCTCGCATCTTCTTGACGGCACAATCCAAAAACTATCCTCATCAAGATGACAGGAACTAACGGAAACGGTAGCAATGGAAATGGCAATGGTGGAACCTCTGTGGGAACCAGCCGTGTGAAGCAGGGATTGGCCCAGATGTTGAAGGGAGGAGTAATTGTGAGTTTCCCACGACAGAGAAAAGGAACCCTGTTGTGTTCCCATGGATTGGTTGGTGCAGTTTCATCAAGGGGTGAATGGAAGAAACATGATGGGATAAAGGATGGTTAATTTGAAGATCAAGAGCTGATTGTTCTCTGGAATTACTGGGGTGGGGTATCTGACTCAGATACCCCTGTGGTTTGCTCAGCCTCATTTTTCTGTGCTACTTTGTCTAACCTTCTGTGTTTTTATCTTTCTCACTCCTTCCTCAACAATATACACTAGATGGATGTCATGAGTGTGGAACAAGCAAAGATTGCCGAGGCTGCTGGTGCTGTAGCTGTCATGGCGTTGGAACGCATTCCTGCCGATATTCGTCGTGATGGCGGCGTTGCTCGCATGTCGGATCCTGCTTTGATTATGGAAATCAAGAATGCTGTTACCATCCCTGTCATGGCAAAGGCTCGCATTGGACATTTTGTAGAAGCCCAAATTTTGGAAGCCTGTGAGATTGATTACATTGACGAGAGCGAGGTCCTTACCATGGCTGATGACATTCACCACATTGACAAAACAAAGTTCAACGCTCCATTTGTTTGTGGATGCCGAAATATTGGCGAAGCTTTGCGTCGTATAGCCGAGGGAGCTTCCATGCTTCGAACCAAGGGAGAAGCTGGAACTGGAAATATCGTCGAGGCGGTCCGTCATGCTCGCACAGTCCAGGCTGAAATTAGGCGTTTGGCATCTCTGCCCAAGGATGAGTTGTTTGTGGCTGCCAAAGAGCTTCGGTGCCCCTATGAACTCGTTAAGGAAGTTGCAGATAAAGGAAAACTTCCTGTTGTCAACTTTGCCGCTGGTGGTGTGGCTACTCCCGCCGACGCTGCTCTCATGATGCAACTCGGTTTGGATGGGGTCTTTGTTGGATCTGGAATCTTCAAGTCGGCCAATCCCGAGGCTCGTGCCAGGGCAATTGTGCAGGCTGTAACCCACTACAATGATCCCAAGGTATTGATGGATGTTTCCACTGGTCTGGGACCTGCCATGGTGGGTATTTCAGACATCAAGGGCGATCCTGTCAACTTTCGTGATCGCGAGGGTGGCATGCAGCAATACGATGGACGTGTCCCTCCCAAAAAGGAACTCCACGGAAACACAGAGGTACAAATGTACGGTTCCTCTTGGGCCAACTAAACTTTACGTTCGGTGGTTGGACTCCACCCGTGACACCGGTCTCCGTTTTTGGCTGGGAATGTTGGGCTTCTTAAAAAAAAGTTCAACTGTGTAGAAATTGCGCACGAAAACAATCAATTGATTTCAGGAAGAGGAAAGGAATGCATAGTTTATTACCAGTAACATGCTAGATAGTTAGTAACTACAAAAGACATGTCGTGCGGGTATTGTCAGTTTGGGGAAGTGGGGCAACTTGAGTAGGGCCTGCAACAATGTCGAGTCTTTACAGCAGCTTTGGCTTGTTCAACAAGTTCTGTGAATGCCTGTACATATGGTACATGCAGAACTACATGTACGGTATGATCCAAACACATCTACATTGTGGGAACAGAACGGAGAGGCGCAAACTCCATCCATCCCACACTCATCAACCTCAGGTGGACAAACACAAGACTTATATACATAAGAATCTTGCCAGTCATGCCAACAAGACAGTCAATAATATTATCCTGAGAATGCCTTTCATAAAAAGGGGAATAACCGATGGGAATTTTGAAAGGAGCCTTGTCATCCGTGTCGTTGTCTGCCCAAGGGAGCAAGAAATACTCCGGCACATACACAGCCTTAACCGCTAACTTCTTCTCAGCTTCACGAGCATTGGTGTTTTTCAACGGCTGTCTTGATCTTCTTTGGCATTTCACTCAGCCCAGCATTGCTACATCGTACCCAACAGATGACCCACATATTCAAAGTTGAGTAGAAGCTGGGCAAAGGCACTGGCTTGAGTCTTTGCTTCGTTGGGACGAAGTAGCTATGACACTGGGCAGAGTCGGCAACACAGCCAAAGCCTTTTGCTGCTTCGCATCAGCAGTATCCTTGCACTCTTGGAGTAAGCCCCCCGCACTGGAAACGCAAGAGGGCCATGACTCTTTCTACGACCATATCGCTCATCCAGTGAGTCCACCCTTGACTTCTTGTGTTTCCTGATAGTCCAAGGCAGGAAATGTCAATTCTCCATGATATTCCTCGAACGCCTCTTCATCACCGTCTGCCTGAGGAGACCAAAGCTGCCATCGGCATTACCAGAATCCGTGCACTCGTGTGATACTCCTGGTACCGGTATGCCTTGGCAAGCTTGGGGTGACACGCCGGCAGCGCGAGAGCATCACGAGAGACGGCGAGAAAGCCAATCCAAGGAACCATATAGGGAAACTCCCACAGAGCATACACGGAATCCACCCTCCAAGAGCTGTGAATAAGTAGTCTATTTTGCCAGCCCATTCGGATCCAATTCCAATGGTGATGATGTCGGAGACTCCTTCGGACCCCAGGAGGTCCGTCGAGGAAAATGGTTTGATCGAGTCGCTTTCCTCGATTGACATCTCCTTGATTGGAACAATGCAAAACAGTTACTAATGTGCGACATACGCTTTGTGTGGCTTGAATCATTGGGTCCGCTGGCGTGAGGGCAAGAAGCAACAAGAGACCAAGATATCGGTAGAGAAGAAAAGCTCGACTGAGGCTGAATTAACACACTCCACGTTCCAAAAGTTCTGTGAGCTTCTGGCGAGCTCACTTCCAACTCGAGTTGCTGTGGTGTTGTTTGAGAATTGATTAAAGCTTTGAGTGCTGCATGTTAAATCTTGCTCTTATGAAACGTGGTTGGATGGGAATAAAATCGTTTGCACAAGGTCGCGTTTCGCTGCTTTAGCAGCAAAGCGGGATAGAGAGCGCAAGAATGAGGACCAGCAGAGCCTCACAATTCCCAAACAAGGAACAACAAAACAACAAGAAACAAACAAACTACTTCTAAACAATGAGCGACAAGGAAACCAAGTTCTTGGCCCAGTTCGGAGATGAACTCTGGTCGTCTTCTTCAGGAGAAATGGTCAAGACGGCCGATGCTCTGACCGGGAAGAAAGTGATGATTTACTTTTCAGGTAATTAATCAACGACTTGCAAATGGATTCTGAAGTTTGGTGTTCCCCGCTCATCTCATCCCTTCTTTCTGTTATCTCCTGAAGCTTCCTGGTGTCCCCCGTGTCGGTACGTTGGTTTTGTGTTGTGTATCGAGGTTCTCCGAGCTGACGTCTTAGACTGACTCTTGTCGCTTTGCTTCTTTGCAGTCGTTTCACTCCCATGTTGATCGCCATGTACAACAAGCTTAAGGAAGACCCAAAGCGAGCCGACACATTCGAACTTGTATTTGTGTCTTTGGATCGATCGGAATCTGATTACAACGATTATACTTCCAAAATGCCTTGGAAATCCGTCCCCTACAGTGCTCCTGAACCCATGCGACGCAGCTTGGCCATGAAGTACGGGGCAGAGGGTATCCCCCATTTGGTTGTCATTGATGAAACAGAAGATCGCAACCTCATCACGTCGGATGGGACCGGCGAGGTGTCGCTGGATCCTGATGGTGACAACTTTCCCTGGAAGCCAAAAGGATTCTCGGAAATCTTTCCCAAGCAATTCATGACCAAACAAGGATTGGTGGATTCTTCGACCATCGACAAGAAACACTTGATGTTATACTTTTCAGCGCATTGGTGTCCTCCGTGCCGCAAGTTCACACCCGTTCTCGCGGAAGCCTACAAAAAGTTGATGGAAGAGCGAGGTGACGAAGTGGAGCTTCTCTTTGTCAGCTCGGATCGAGAGGAAAGCAGCTTTCAAGAATACTGGGGCACGATGCCGTTTTGCGCTCTCCCCTACGAGGAGCGAGATGCCAAAATGTTGCTAAGCAAGCTCTATGGCGTCCGAGGTATCCCCTCCTTGCTCATTCTGGGGCCTGTACCCGAAGGGGGCGGCGACCGGCCTCTCATCAACGACAATCTACGAGCAGTAATCGAGTCGAATGACTTTTCTGAGTTTCCTTTCCACCCCAAGCCCTACCAGGATTTGGCCGTTGGAGCAGACGGAATCAATGAGCACAAGTCACTGGTTGTATTTTGTGAGAACGAAGACGACGATGAGCAGAAAGAGTTGACTGACATGGTCAAGACAGTGGCGGAGAAGCTGAAAGACACCGACATGCGCTTCTTTTATGCCACCAGTCCTGGCGGCCTCGTCGGTGCCATCCGCAAGGTGATCAAAATTGAAAAGAAGTTGGATGGTGTGATCATGGCTCTTCTGGATATTCCCAGTGGAGGAGGGTACCATATCAGTGATGAAACTGATCTGACGGTTGAGAAAATTGAAGAGTTTTTGACCAACCCAGGAGAACGCCAGCAAATGACGCAGTAGATGGCTGAATAGCGTGCCCCCCTGGTCTTGTTGGGAATGAGCGTGACTTATGCACCGGAGAGGGCGCTCTTGGTATCATTCCGGTATCGTTGCCAGTTGCATGCAGCCCGTAGAATCTATTTGTATAGAAGACTGGGAAACCTCCAAAATGAGAAGCGCATAGGTGACTCCTTATGGAATGTAGCGCTGTGTTTATAGTTACTGGCTCTGTCCTCCTCTCCTGCGGAACTGGTACCATGGTATCTGTCTTTCTCCGGGCACTGGTTTGTGGTAGCTTTTTGTGGTGCTGTCACCCTGGGATGTGGTTGGAGGTTGGAGAGTGACTGCCACCAGCCTTGCGGCTTTATTTCTGGCGCCTTATTGGGGGGTGCGGTTGATACCGGTACCGGTATGGCAGTGGTGTTGGCCAGAAGAGGGACGGTCTCTTCGTCAGCACTGTTGAGGGGTCTACTAGCTAGCTAGCTAGCACCCTATTGCTCCTGGGCTGCTGAACAACAGACTTCACCTCCAAACGCACTGCAACGTGTATCTGGTATGGAAAGTACATCCAAGTCAAAATTGCGGACCTGATCTCCCGTTGGAAACGTATCTACATGGACGGTACAGTAGTGTTGGTGCTCTACTAGGTAGCTATGAACTGGGTGGGCAGATAAATTTTAGGCCGCAGCTTCCACCAAGTAAATAACTCGCAAATATTATAACCCAAATGCACCTGGCTACCTGGCAGTACCTGGTACCGTAGTACTAGTATACGGTAGTTGATCTATTCTCGCAGTTTTTAAAATTAATAAGGTTTAGGTCCAACACGTCCATATTGGTACCGGCGGCTGTATCGGTACTGTACGGTTAAATGGGCCCGAAATGGCGATTTACACCAAATTCCGATTTATACTTGTGTTTCGATTTTATATTTAGGTTTCGGTTTTATATTTTGGTTTCGATCTTATATTTTGGTTTCGGCTTGATTTTACTAGTTAATTACCATAGTAATTTGGTTTCGATTTTATATTTAGGTTTCAGTTTTGTATTTAGGTTTTGGTTTTATATTTAGCTTTCGAATTGATCAATTTGGTTGGATTCATAAAATCGTGATTTCCGGCCCTTTCGTTTACATGTAATAGGGCGTTTCGAGTAGACTACTCCAGTCTAGTAAAAGTCAGAATTCAGAACCTGATCTACTGTAGTGTAATTGCCCTTGTCGAAGGGGGTTATGGTGTTATGGCGCCTTTTCGATGCAACATATACAGTCTACTCTCTATTAAATCATGAAATAGTAAATCAACTTCTCTATTATATCAAGGCTTTCATGAGTTTCCCCCTGAGTCACGAGGCAACTAGTGACTCACATGTCCATGTTGCATACTGAGCCAAGCAACAGCAGTACCATGAATGCCAAAGTCCCAGAGGCTGACATCTTAGGAGTAAGCTTTATGGAAGCTCAAGAGTGCTTGAGGAAGCTCATCAATAGTTGCTCTAGCCTGGGCATTCCAGAAGGTCTCACTGTGCACCTTGACCGATTTGCCAAAGCAGTGCAATCTGCTAAGCTCCATTGTTAGTTGAGAGACTGGACTCTTCCCTTCATGAATATTTATTTTACCAAGAAGTAGGTAGCCTTTGTAGCAAGCATTCTAGATTGGTTTTTAGGCCATGCAGACTGCCATTTGGTCCATAATGGTACAGTAGAACAGCTAAATCAAGACTCTCTCTTATATCAAGACTTTTTTAAAAGGAATCCCCTCTCATGATATAAGAGAGAGTAGACTGTACCTGGTGGTCCACTTTTGCACTTTGGACATAGGGCAGCAAACCTCGAACACCAGCAATCAGGCAATACGAAATACAAAAGCCAACGGCCAACAGAGATTCGGGAGTGATCTTTTTTCAAGCTCTCCAAAGCTCCGAAGCAGTGCATTTGGATGGGTTCTGGAAAAACTCTCTTGGGGGAACCCTTGGGGGTCACCCTTTTGACTTTTCGTCACCGGCCAGCTACCGTACCGCGACGGTAGCTGCCTTGGTAGCCGCATTAGTATGGGGAAACTGGTACAAAAACACACAACTGCAGCCAAAATTCGCAAAGGTTTATCCAGGATGCAAGCGGTACATGTACCAGCTGCACCTCTGACTTCACTCTTTCCCTTCGGAGTACCGGCAGAGTGCCTTTGTGCATATTATTGCATCGTTGCATCGTTGCATCGCAGTGCTCTGTTGAAGAAATCTCGAAATCTTTTCAAAAGACCCAGTGGTTAGGATTATGTTACATAATTACCGTACAGTCCTTCAGTGCCTGTACAGTACTACTGTACAGTATGACTTACTGTACTACATACGGAGAGTGGGAGAATCTTTTTCAACCTAATTCCCTTGGATGGATGACCTTGCTTGTTTATTTTGTGATGAGACTAAACGGAGTGCTGGACTCGAGTACCTGGCACACTCCACACTCATACTTAAGATACTGTAAGTGGGTTTAAGATGCCAAGTATGGACTACAATCGTACTCAACTCTCAACGCAGAAATGTCAAGATAATCTCTCTAGTAGAGTAGAGACACTCAGATTTCCCAAACCAGAAAGTACCAATGTCTCAAATCCTAAGCTAATACTACTACTACGGTATGTGGGGAGTTTAGGGAAGCTAGCTAATACCCACTTCTTCCACATCACCATCTACATCCACGTCCTCCATATCCCCATCTTGGGGTGCCTCCTCTACGACCACAACATGTTTGGTTTCATCAATTTTTGCTTTGCACCGTTGCCTTCTTGGGCTTTGGTTGTGGATCATCACTGTCTGAGGGCATGATTAGTAGTAGAGTATGTGACAAGAGCTGCTAGCTATGACGTAGTGGCTACGCTATGACAGATACTGAGATTGGGCTGCTTCCGGTACATTCCCGGAGAGATATCTTGTTATCTTATGGATGCGGTATGACATATATAGCTAAGGTAAACCACTTGTAGCCTAAATCTTGCTGCTGACTATTATAGCTCTATTATTTAGAGAAGACTTGTAGCTTCTGAGAGTTGTAAAAGCTTGGTCTTCGATGGAAAATGGAAGGGCAGTACTAACATGGAGACACTTCAAGTAAAAAGGTAACGGCAACGCCAACATCTCCCCTCATCACTCATCACACACATCACACACCCAGGACAAACAACACAAACCACCGAGATATCTATCTATCTTTCCTCTTATTTTTCTGTTGCCGCCATCCGCCGTCAAAGGCACAACTCGAGCGATCCACAGTTGACGAGGACCGGTATCATATTGGTACCTGGTATATTTTCTTGCGCTCTTTGATTTTGAGAGCCCTTGACAGTTCTTAGGTTTTAAAAGCAAGATCAGGTAGCTTCCTTGATTGGTATCATTATTTCAGGACAACAAACCGTGTAACCATGCCGAACCCCCTGAGGAAAATGAAAGAGAGCTTTGGAAGCTCCTACAAGAAGGAAAAGGAGAAGGAAAAAGAAAAAGAAAAGGAAAAGGAGGAAGGGAAACGTGATAATATCTCGCCGAGAAGTCGAAAGTCAAAACTTATACCCAAAACAGAAGTCCCTCCTGCTGGCGATGAATCGACTAAGCGATCCAGTCTGCCTAAGCTCTTGTGGTCATCCAACAAAGGCTCCAATCGCGATATGAATGATTCTTCGCGCCATGACGGTAAGGGGAGCGATGAGGAAGAACAAGCCAGCAGTGGTGACTTGGGAAGCAGCGAGACCGTACAACAGAAAACAGAACAATCACAGCGCCGACAGACGGTTGCCGTCAAACGAGGTAGTGTGGGCCATACCATTGCCAATAACGTGGGTAGCGTCATGATAAACACTGCCATGGCGCCAATGGTAGCAGGAAAGGTTGTCTTCCAAGGAAGCGTCAAGGCGGTGCAGGCCAGTGTGAACGCGACACAGCATGCGGTAGATCAGAGTATTTCCGTGGCTACCAAGGCAGTCGATGCCGGCACTCAGGCTGTCACTTTCGGGGTAACTGCTGGTGCGAATACTGTCGTTTCGGGAAGCAAAGCTGTTGGTACCGCTGTTGGCAGTACTGTCGTGTCCGGAAGCAAAGTCATGGGCAACACGGTTGTGTCTGGAGGCAAAGCGTTTGTAGGAGGGACCACCTCAGTTGTGGAATATTCCGGAAAAGCAGTCTTACACGGGACCCGGGGCATGGTCAAGGGCATGAAATCCGCTGTCAACTTGGGCAAATATTCTGGTGTGAATCGAAGTCAAGAGGAGAAAAAATCTAAATGGGAGCAGGGTGTCGAAGTCATCGAGTCGCTTCTGGAACCGGGTAGTGACACTTATGAGGCCATGACAGAGGATCAAAGAAAGAAACTCCGCAGCGTCAAGAAACTTTTGATCACTGGGCCGAACGGAGGTAACAAAATTGCACATATTCCTCGTGACCTCATCAAGATGAAAAATAGTACCAGCACCCACTTCTCAGGAGGAAAAGAAAGGCGATTGTCCACTGGCAGCAATTTCATTTTGCAAGAGTATGCTGGCCTCAGGGACGGCGCTCTCTTGGGTGGCGCTTCGGACCTCGACGATTCGGTGACTGACGAGGAGGAGTCGCTACCGGAGGAAGGTGCCAGGTCTCCCCCGAGGTCCAGATCAAAATCTCCAAAACCAGAAGGCGGGAGGAAATTGAAGAGACGTGGTAGCGACAACGACAATAGTTTTGCAAGCCTTGCAAGTCTCTGCCGTTCCTTAGATGATTCCACGGAAAATATAGTGGACTACGTGCCTCCCGAATTCAAGATGCTGGATAGGGAGGAGCAAATGATTGTTTTCAATATGCTCAAATGGGAGTCCATCGGCAAATGGAATTTCAATATCTTTGATCTCAACGAATTCACACGGGGAAAGCCGCTCGTTTTCGTGGGATGGGCAATCTTGGGATCACCATACTCACAAAACGCAATGGCCGCCGAGCTGGGAATTCGAATTGAACCTGGGGAGAGTAAGGGATACCCGTTTATGGACGATCTGTTGATCCCACCCAGGAAACTCTGCGAATACTTGAGAGTCATCGAGATGGATTATCATGCCAACCCCTACCACAACGCTGTCCACGCGGCTGATGTCATGCAGACATTGCACGCTCTGATTCAAAAAGCGATCGACGAACCTTTTCTCGACGGCTGTCCGGACATCCACTTGTTTACAATTCTCCTAGCGGCGGCGATTCACGATGTCGACCACCCTGGCAAAACAAACGCCTTTTTCACCGCCATGAGAACCGAGTTGGCCGTCATGTACAATGACAGATCCGTGCTGGAAAACTGGCATGTCGCTCACGCCTTCGCCCGCATGCTAGATTTGGAGCTCGCAGGTTCCAAAAGCATTCATGCCAGCCAGGTGCTTGACGACAAGAAAAGCGAGGGAAAAAAGGATTGCGAAACCAACATTCTGTGCAATGCCACCCCGGATCAATTTAAAACAATCCGCAACCTGATGATTGAAGCTGTTCTTCACACCGACATGACAAAGCATTTCGAAATGGTTAACTCTGCCAAGGGTCTGTTGCGTCAGGAAATTAATGAAGATAACTCCTGGAAGGTGTTGATGTTTATGTTGCACATGGCTGATATTTCGGGACAGGCCAAGCCGGACCCTCTGTTCAAGTTGTGGACCACGCGCTGCATGAATGAATTTTTCTCTCAGGGAGACGAGGAAGCATTGCTAGGATTGCCGATATCCCCTAATTGTGATCGAAATACCACCAACCCAGCCGAGTCCCAAGTGGGCTTCATCAAATTTGTGGTAGAACCAGCTTACGAGGTTCTCGGGATGTTTATTCCGTTTGTCGGCAACAATGTCCTGCAACTCATTGACCACAACCTAGATCATTGGATCCATGAGATTTCAGACATGGACGAGTCGGCAATGGGAGATTCGGAAATGGGCAATTCATCGCGAAGATCATTGGTGCCGGTCCAAGAGGACGCCACGCCCGAAAGCATCACGGTGCCCTGCATGGACGAGAAGGAAGGCAACGAAGCTGCCGGGAATCAACTTGAGGTACCAATTGAGGCGTAAAAAACATGTTGCGCACTAGCGAGTAGGACATCAACGGGGGGAAACCGCGACGCGCCATGATCGAAAGCAAAAAAAGCTGGCCAATGGCTGAGTTGGGCAACAATAAACGTAAGAGTGTGCCAAGCCTAACGAGAACCAAATATGTTACCATCGGTTCATCTGTGGCAATACAATTGCTCTAGTTAAGTATCTTATTTAGAAATGCATGCATGTTATCAGTTTGTGAGGGTACAAATCAATGGGACGAAAGTATTTGGAGAGCGTGTCTTTCTGTAAACTGGACAGCTCCTTTTGCAGATGTATTGGGACGAAGAAAAGCGTTCTTGTGCCCTTTGCGAACTGGGATGGGTAAAATTTTGGTTACCAATGCTCTGAGCCGAAGCAGGAGCAATACTTTGTGCTTCTGCATGACCTTGGCCTGGACAAAACTGAGCATGGCGCAACACCTGCCCAAACCAAGACCTGCTCCCGCACCTCCAGATCGCTGAGCTCACTGTGCGCGTGGTACAGCGTACTGGCACGATGTACCGGTAGTCTATCCGTACGGTACAGATCATTCCACAGAATGACGTCAGAAGCGGACCAACAAACTTTCGATCCACCTTCGCTTCGAGTCGAGTCCGCGGTCCGGTTTCGGAAATTGGCAACGGCAGCACTTTGGCTTTTGCTATTGAAGAATTCATTCATTCGTTCCCTTTTGACAAGCTGAGCGCCCTGGTTATCTTTGTTAGTTAGTGAAGATGAGCGGTTCTTCCTCTCCCTCCAGCAACACCATGAGCTCTCCTCACACGACGATTGGTACAAGGAAACCCCGCGGCCATAAGGGACTCCTTTCAACCTCGACGATGCTTTTATTGATCTTTACCAATGGGGCTTCTTTCATGGCGGGTACTTTTTATGCGTCCAATGCTGCTATTGCTTCTCAGTTTCCAAACCAACAAAAACTTGCCATTCAACCACTGGAATCATCATCCTGTCCACCCGTCAAGTGCCCTCCGATACCCCAACTCAGCTGTCCGCCATGTCCAGAACAACCCCAACTCAGCTGTCCACCATGTCGAGAAGAACCTGCCGATGCAAACGAAGAAGAAGAAGAATCAGCACCTGCTGAGGAGAACGAAGAAGATGAAGAAGATGAGGACGAAACAGAGGAAACAGAAGAAGCAGAGGAAACACCTCTGGAACAGCGTCGTGCTGAATCATCATCCAACAATAAGCAGCAACAGCCGAAATCCTTGGTGTTCCCCGAAATTGTCAATCGCTTTGCCGTGGGAGCGGCCTTTACCACCAAAGAAAATTTCACAGCAACGTTTGATTTGGGTATGCCTGTGGAATACTCTCAAAAAGAGGGTGAAAAGGGAGTCATGATAATCTACAGTTCACCTCAGGCATTGCCACGAAAGTTTGGCAATACAAAAGCAGGCAACAGCAATGACCCCATGCGCATACTTTCGGCCCAAGAAGCCACGGAAAATTGCGATTACATGAACGTTATCATGACTTACCACGAAGGCAAACGTCGACAGTGTTTGGCCATTGTACCACAATATGAATCCTTTCATATACAAAAATGGCTTCGAGTGCCTGAAAAGGGACCTTCTATGGGTTCCTTTCATCCACTGCGAATGGTCCCACGAGGAAAGTCCATGAATGGAGAAAATGCCTTTCATCCACCGGCACACGAAAAACATACCAAAAAGGCATGGAAAATGCTCGAGGGATATCTTGATTCCGTGGATGATGTCATTGCCGAACTCAAACCGATTGTGCAAAAGATTGCAAGCAACAATGCCATTGTTGTGATGGTTTGCAACTTTGGACAGGTAAGCCTCTTCCTTTTGCAGTCTTGCAATGAAATACACACAATTTCCATTCTCCTCAACCACACATCCATTCTGTGCATGTAGTCCCAACTCTTGCTTAACTTTGCCTGTTCCGCACGGGCAAAAGGATTGGATGTTTCCAATGTGCTGGTGTTTGCCACGGATCAGGAAACCCAAGATTTGGCCGTAAGCATCGGTCTGACTTCCTTCTTTGATAAGAGAGTAAGTAGCTTTGCCATTTCGCAATGATTGTTTGCTTGTTTGCTTACTTGCTGATTTATGCTTTGACACCTCCAATTATGTTGTCACGTTTGTCTTGTCGTCTCAACAGAACTTTGGGTCCATGCCCAAAAAGGCTGCAAAGACGTATGGAGATGGAATCTTTACAAATATGATGCTCTCCAAGGTAAGTCCTCTGGTTCCTTCTTTCAATGGTGTCTTTCTTGCTGTACAGTTGCTGATCAAGGCCTCATATGCTTGGATCGCATGCAACCGTGTATCATATGTTCAGGTCATTTGTGTTCATTTGGCCAGCTTGGTGGGAGTGGACTTTCTTTTTCAAGATGTGGATGTAAGTGGGGACTGCCCAACGAAGCGCAAAACTCTGTGTGTATTGATGTTGGAGAGATGTTGACTTTCTCGCTCATTACTTCTCACTCCCGTCACATAGGTTATGTGGTATCGTAACCCACTTCAATTCTTTCAGAACAACACTTCGCCCATCAGGCATTTCGATGCCTATTTTCAGGATGATGGATCGAGGTCTTTGAGATTCGCTCCTTTTTGTGCCAATTCTGGGTTTTACTTTATTCGCAACAATCCTAGAACCAGATACTTTTTGACATCTTTTCTCATGCAGAGTGACCTTGTCTTGAGATCATTCTCTCATCAATCCGCCATGATTGCCATCCTATCGGAACATTCCTCCTTGTTAGGGCTTCGTGTGAAAGTGCTTCCTCCAGAAGAATTTCCAAGTGGATTCATTTATCATCGAAAGAAAGGAAGAGGTCACTATGGCAACTACTTTACCGACCTCTTCAAAGGCAAACAGAAACCTTGGGTGCTCCATATGAGTTGGACAAAGAATAAAAACAACAAAGTTCTGTACTACAAGCAGTTGGATCAGTGGTATTTACAGGACAAGTGCATGGACAAGAAGGTTAGCGAGATTGCTCTGCCCAGCGGTTCCGGCTTTGTGGATAACTGTTGCTCTGCAGAATCACTCTTCTCCTGTCACTATCGCGACAAGCCAAGCAGCAGACCATGCAAGGACAGCCCCGCTTTGGATAAGAATGGCCAATCATTCTGGTGAGACTTCGACTGACGGCCTGGCTAGGCTGGCTAGCTATCCAGCCAACAACCTGTACTGGCTCGCATAGGGAACAACACACTTGTAAAGGGGGGACAAGTTATCTGTTCAAGCTCCAATCACATGCACAGTAGTACCACACTGCAAGATTTTCTTACCAAGCTGAAACGCATACTCCTCATATAATCCTTAAACATACAGCGTACATACATAGAGAAATGGGCATTGTATGCAACTTTTACTGTGTTCAGTATTTACAGACCTCTTTTCTACGGCAGGACGAATCGGCACTATCATCAATTCTGTCGCTTTAGCAAAGCTTCCTCCTCCTGTAGCTGCTTCCTTTCGGAGTGATTCAAAACCAAGGATTCGTAGAAGAGGAAAACTGCCGACAAGACAACAACATACAACCCTACCACGGCAAACAAGGGAGCATTGATTGGGTGAATATACGACAAGGCACCGCCCAAAAGGGGGCCAGCCATTCCAGCTGCACTTTCTACAGCGGCGAGAACACCAAACAGAGAGCCAATTTCATCTGGAGTGGCAATCTTGCTGGTATCTGCTGTAAACATGGTATTGATAAGTCCCAGTGCCGTCACAATGGCACCAAACAGACAGTAGACCACAGGAAGGCTGGTGGTTTGGAACGCCATGTAGCGACCACAACCAAGGCAAATGCAACATGACATCAGCAGACGGACTCGCCCTTGAGGAGTGCTACCTCCAAAGAAGTTCAATATCGCCTTGGCAAGAAACCCTTGCGACAAGGCATAAGTCAAGCCAATAAAGGATATGAATCTTCCGTAGTCTTTGGGACCAAAGTCGAAGCGTTCTTTCAACGATGCCGTCCAGATTGTCTGAAAAATATGAAATGCCAATGCCATGCAAACTCTTGCCGACATGAGAAACATTGCTGCCGGTGTACGAGCCGAACGAATGTCAAAGGAGCTAAAGAAGCCCTGCTTGTTGTTGATGCTTTCAACCTTCTTTGATATTGCTGAGGTCGATGGTAGACACAAAATGAGGATTGTCGAGATTGTCACGCAGACTAGGCCAAATATTGTTGCTTGCTCATAGGTAGAAAACAATGACACGCCTGCCAATGGCCCTGCCATGAGAGCAAGGCCCACAGCCATGCCCAACAAACCTGCACTGGCCGCTCTTTCTGTGGATGAGGACTTTTCTGGTACAGCATCATGGTAGGAGCTAAAAAGAGCCTTTAAAATGTTCGCATTGTGCTGCAATAGAGCACCAGGTATCATGCTGGCCCAAAGCATTTGAATGTTTGTAGCGAAAAATCCCATCAACAGACCTGCCGTAGCAGCTACCACGCCCATGAAGAGACAAATCTTTCGTGCCCCTCCCAGACTTTGCAACTTGGTAGAATCAGAGAGCTTGCCCACCATGGTGGCACCTGTCAAGGTGAGCATCGACCGAACAGAAGTTTGGCTTCCCACGCACATGGAGTCACAACCAAGCGTGTCCCGTTGACTCTGCGTATGCGGCATTGTAACGGTAATTGCAACAAAGAGAAGTGCCAAGGATGCTGTGCCAAGCCAGATCCCTTTCTTGAGATTGCGCTCATCTTGATTCTTCTTCGAATGAGACGACGACGAAGAAGAAGAACTCTTGTTCGGGCTCTCTTCTGTGAGGGTCGAAGACGGCTTGTCCACCTTGTTGGCTCGAAGCGAAAGCGTTTCGGGTGCACACATATTGCTGCCTGTTATTGGTGTTGATGCGATGAAAGTGGGAAGGATCGGAATTGCATTCTTCTGCTGTGTCATTGTCTTTCTTTATTGATACGTTTGCGTCATTGCCACTGGACAAATTCTGACGCCATTTCTTGCCGCGTGGTAACAACGTGGTGTGTGAGTCATGCAAAAACTATCTTTTTTCCTTGGTCCGGAGGTTTGTGTTCTCTCTTTTTTTGCATCTCTCCGCGTCATTTACACGGAGTAAAGCCACCCAAGCCATAGTTTTATTCCAAGTGGGAGGTACAGATTGATACTTAGGTCTAGCTAGTGTCGGTAGTTAGTATGCTACGGGTAGCTATCAAGGTTTGCTGTGCCGGAACAAGACCTATTACTGACAGAACGGACGCGGGCATGAATGCCCCAAGATGAGGCAGCTTGTTCCAAAGCACAACTTGTTAACTTGGAACGCCAAAGTGGCTGGTTTACTCCTGAAATGCAGGTCCCTGTGTTGCTGTGATCCTCGCAGCTCTTTGGAGGAGATTGGCATAGATAGTGCCTTGCATGTTAACCATCTACTTGTGGGCCCACCAGTCCTTTCCATTTTTATCAATTGGAGGGCTGTCACTGCAGGGGTATTTGCTGGGTTTGTCTTGGTAGTGGCAAGAGAATAGCGCTTCCGCAGAGCAGCAAGCATCGACAGCAGTCCCTCCTGCAAGCGCAATGTCATCCAGTTTCTTGCTTACACACTCTTCTTTCACATACCATTCTCCCATTTGCTTAAAGAAGAGCAGCTTGTTGTCTTTGTTCAGGGTCCAGCCTTTTGCACCAATACACAAAATGTGAACGTTAGAGGAGTCTCAACCGCGCATGCAGAATCCAGTTTGCCTATTCCAATCACTCACTCATGTGGAAAATATAGGGGTCCTTTTGGCCTGCAAACAACTGTCGCATGTAGTCTTTCTTTCGGCCTGAATGAAATTGAAAGCCACCAGGAAAACCTTCATCTTCTCTTAGCAATACTTTTGCCTTGAAGCCATGTAATGACATTTGTTCCGACATGACTGCAATCATGGCTTGTTGATGAGAAAAGCTTTTGGCGATCAGGTCTCCAGCTAGCACTAGCTGCGTCAAAAAATTTACTGTCCTTTGATTATTGCGGAGATAGTAGAAACTTTTTTCATGTGGTAGGGCTGAGTGTGAGGATGGCACCACTATGGGGGAACTTCAGATTCGATTCTAGTTTGGTGACCTACCCAGAGTTGGCACTATAGGGTGCATACCGTAATGATCTGGCCCCATCGTCTTGGAAGTAGGCATCATTGTTGTAGATTGTGGAGTTCCTATTATGGAAGTACCTATGAATTAAGACAGTATGAAGAAACAAGCAAAAAGTCAGCATCTCAAAGCAGGACAAAGCAAGCAAGCTCTCACACCTTGCATTGCCACCATTTTCACTTACGGTAATGGATCCTTGAACCAAATCTGCAAAAAGGGCAGGTTGGAAAGCATAGAATCAGGCGCAAACATTAGCAAACAAAAACCAAAACAACCCTGTTTTTGAAACATCAAGTGTATACTGACCACGTCTACATCTTGGAACAGGACATCCACACCAGTCAAGATAGTCAAATGGACGCACAACACCTGTAGTCAGGGCAACAAAATGTTAGTTGCTTGGTCCTCTTGTTGTGTGGGCCGTACCTCCGACTGTAATGCCATTCTCACCTTTGCCATCATGAGCTTGACAAACTTCATGTCACCATACTGTTTTGCAGCTTCAGTAGGCATGTGCCCAAAGTTCTTGAAAAGAGAAGAGAAATTACATCAATTCTTTTTTCAGAATGAATCCTTTTCCCAGAATGAATCATTTCCTCTATCGACTTACGTTCTCATCATAGTAGGCAGTCATACCCATGCTTTCTGCAAGCTCCTTTGTCTCTTCATCAGTTGCAAAAACCAGCACATGCTGGGTGTCAAGCCCCCTTGTTCGTGCAGCACAAACAAAATTCATCAGAAGTTCTGACTGGCCGTGATTACACACAAGGACAACTGTAGATTGGAGCAAAGGAGAGAGCATACAAAAAATAGATACCATCAGCGTATTGTTGGAAATCCACAGACCCCATTTTGACGACCAACAGCATTCTCACCAATGGTATTCTTGTATTTGATTCGTTTGACAATCTCCTTGAGTTCTGCCACAATCCCTTCATAGGTCTCCAAATAAACTTTCAGCTCTTTCCATGTCTTTTTTGTGTGGCGTTCAAACTTTGGAACTCCAAATTCATCCTTTCCATCCCATTGCATTGTGCGTGGCACCAAACGAAGCGGATGCTCTCTGTCTCCTCTACCTCTCTCTGGCAGCCTCATCCAAGTCTGCAAATGATGGGATTCATAGTTGGGAACCAATGCTAGACACATGTTCTTGCTCCCACCACGGTTGCGAAAGGCCACGTGCATGATATCACAGTTCTCAGTGAGTTCGTCTGCAGTGACCAGCTCTACGGATTTGGAGTCTGTCAGTTTTGTAGGCATGGCATCTCCCCGGCTGTAGACCATCAGGACATCACGATCACGATCTGAATCTGCAGCGTCAATAGGAACTCCAAGGTCAAACGTTTTGGCAAAGTCTTCTTTGGTAGCGGTTGCCATACCAGCAGCTATTCTATTCACTGACGATGGCAATCCCGGATTTGTAGATTCTGAGGATTGTCAGGACACAACAACACAAGCACGTTGAGAAAGGAGCCCTTTGAGATTACTGGCTGATTGGCTGGTCACATTCCTACCTTTCTGGATAATTTTTGTCGCTTGTACACATTTTGGGCACTCCCGTTGCTTGGGACATGGAGGACAGGATTCACATTTTATGGCCGGTTCTGCCACTTTCATATTTCTTGCTACTGAAGCGTTCATAAATGTCTTCATGGACGGGCATTCTGGACAGTGCGGCTGGAGCATGGAGCGTTGCACAGTACTGGTATGGTTGGATGCAAACATCGACCCCACCAAAAATGCGACCGAGTGGGAAATGACCAAAATTAGAATGCTCGATGTCGAGAGCAGCGATGGCCGAGGGGACGACGGTCGAGGCGTCCCGTTGCCATTGCCACTTGAAGGGCTCTTCGTGCCTCGTGCATTCATGGTGCAAATGACCAGGTGTAGCAATAGCGATGGAAACTGAAGAAGACCGAAAGGCTGAAGGGGTTTGGTGGGAGAGCAGAACCTTGGGGGAGGGTGTGACAGTGTGACGCAAAACTTTGTGACCGTTGGCAGGAAAATTTCTCTTCGAGAATCGGGAGTAAAGCCAGCTCTCGCTGGCTTGTTACCTCAGCATCTCGTCCTCCTCTCCGTCCCCTCCACATTTTTCATCCAAGCTGGCCAAAAAAACTACAAACCCTACACTTGCGCTATTCCTCTCTTCCACCCTCTTTTCTTTCTGCTACCGTAGGGTATCGCTGAGCACCGGCTAGCTAGGTAGCCCACTTGTAGCTAGCAAGTGCAATATCAGACAGAACTGCTGCTTGGCTGGCCTAGAATTTTTAGGCAGCCAGCACACACGAGTAGACTTGGACTGATATTCCACGATGCTCTAGCTAGCTCGGCCTGGCCAGCATAGTCTCTGCCCGCAGAACTTTGCTGTCAAGCAGCTTCCGCCGCAGCCTCAATTCTTGCGTACGACTGTACCGTGGCTTACATATAGCCCATGTGCAATAACAATAGAAAACACCTGTAAACTACTACATTGTATTGGGGCCATAAAGCACCACCTGGCCAGCAAGAAAAATGAGAGCTTGAGAACGGAGTGGTGAAGCAAAGCTTCAAAAGGCAGCTGTCAAGGAAATTACCACTGTAGAACAACGCCCGATAACTGGTAGCTGAGCAAGAAAAATAGGAAAGGTAGTCTAGGTCTAGCTAGACCGAAAACCGAAACTTGAGGCTTGTTGGGGGCTGGCTGTTGGGAAGCCTGAGCGACCCTTGCTTGTCAGCTAGCACTTTTTTTAGAGCTAGCTAGCTACAGACCGATGGTGGGAAACTGCCTCTGGATTCGATTCGATTCGATTCGATTGATTCTTCGATGCTCAAGCTGATGGCTGCAAAGTTAGCATAGAATGTCGACGCCTGTAACCTTTTGCATTCTTCCGAATGCTGACTCAGTTGATGACGAAGAAAATTTTTAAATCAAGTCGCTTGCGTTGATCACCTCTTTGTGTGATGTGGGAGCTTTGACTTTGATAAGCTCTTTGATGCATGTTGATAATATGTTGATTGTTGATGTCACGGCTGTCAATGGCCAAGGCCAATGGCCAGAGTGCGCTATTTCAGCAAAAAAGCCCTCGACCCAGGCAGCTCTTACAGGTTGATTTGTTATTACTGTACTGGTAGCACCTGAATATTGCATGGCTGAGCTCTCGATGCCACCGGTACTTCCGTACCGCACACCAGCACATGCAGCCGGCGATGTGCCTTGACATCGTGAGCTTACGTATCAACATGCATGTTCCGCGGAGATGCCAGCACAAGCTTCGCAGAACGAAGCGCAGCATTCATTCACTCACAAAATAGCCATTGCGCAAGCTTTACACTTATCATACAGGGCTTACAGACCATCCAAACAGGCAATTGATGGCTTTAATCGCTGTAGAAACTCAGGGACAAGACCTTCAACTCGAGCAATAAGCGACCCAAGGATGCAAAGGAAGACCGAGTGGGATTGAAATGTCTGGAGCTTCTCGGCTGGAGTGACGAACCACATGATCAGCAGTTGAGGCAAAAAAGAATTCGGTCATTCTTGTGCCAGCATAAAGAAGACCGTTAACACCATCACCTCAACAACGGGCAGCGCAACATGTGTAAAATATTCCCAGAATCCCTGTATGTTTCCTATTTTGAGCAATTTGGCTTTGGAATTACATCTATCTTGCTATAGTTACTGACAATTGTGCTCAAAACATTGTGAAACGTCTTTTTACAAAACTATAAATATTAGGAGCTGGGGATCTTTGGAGATTCGTAATCACCTTCCGTCAGAATCGAAGTCTTCGCTTCAAAGTGCAAAGGCGAGCGCGTGATGCTTTCTGGCTGATTGAAACCTTCGTTGATTGTTCGGATGGTGCATTGAAACCTTTTCACAGCACAACCCCAAGTCCGAAAAGCATACCTCATCCAAGAGAAGGGTGAGTTCTGAGTTCTGCTGAAGCTTCTGCTCGCCTCCTCCACACCAGCAACAACAGCAACTGAGACGGAGATTTGGCATAGAGTTTAGTGTGTAACCACCGCATTGACAGTCAGCCAGTGGAAGTCATCGACCGTCATTTACTCTCATCGACGCTCTTGGACACCGACAATAACACTCGCACCGTATCGTGGACACCCCCTACCGTACTGCCTTGACGCCGCATTGCCTGGATACCATCGATCAGAAGCATACTAGTATCATTGGTGTGGCCATAACAAGTGGTGTATCTGTGTGAGAAAGGAGCAACAGCATCATGGACCGGAAGCGAGTGAGACGTGGAGAGTCGTTTGGACGCCTCGGCGTGGACCGTACCATCAGCAACAGCCTAAAAAGCCCCAGTCGACAAAAGCAGCGATGTGTCGACTCGGATTCATCCGCATCATCGGAAACCAACATCCATGAACATGATGGCGCTGCTCTCAATGTTCGCTTTGCGGAAGCGACACCTATGATCTACCTTTGCAGTCACTATGACAAAGACATGACCAAGGATGAGGTGGAGCAACGCAAGAAAGAGTTGTGGTATTCGGTATGTGATGCTGTTGTTGGAGTATGTACTTGACTTGGATCTCGCTCTGTATCGTCTTGGAAAAGCTTTCTACAGGCTTTTTTGGCCGAGGTTATTGCAGATGGCACAATGACGTCTGCTGATTCTCACGCCAATCTCCACTCTCTTTTCTTGTGTCACAGAGAGCCGACTTTGAAAACTTTCTGAAAGAGCGCATTGCCACCATCCGCCTTCTCAAACTTGTGCAAGGAGACGCCAGTGCCCTGCGAACGCATTGCCCTGACCTTTGCCTGCGGGGATTGGAACCGTACCAAAGCACCACCTTGAATCAAGAAATGCAATGCCAGAGACAGTGGCATTTGCGAGTCGTCTTGTCAGAGCAAAGTCTCCAAAAATCTTCCAAGGCAGACCCAGAGCGACTGCGACAAGCAGCCGAAGAACGGAGCGAGTGGGCACGGATGCGGGCTCAGCAGTTGGGGTCCTTGGACGAGCAAGAGGCCACTGGCAGAGCTCCAGCCTTTTTGAGTGAAAACCTCACAGCCGCCATACGACGACGCTCTCTGGCAAGTGCGCAATTGGGAATGGAACGCCTCGTGCTCAATCAACAACCTCAGTTCCCACAGCAGCAACCGCGACGAGCGAGCTTGCCTCATATCGCCACCACCACCACAACGGCCACTCCTATCGGCTTGGCATCACGTCGTGTGCCCGTGGACTTGGCTATTCTAAAGGAATGGAATGCCAAGTTTCTGGCGGATATTAAATCACAACTTCCCAATGGCAGTGCTTCGGCCAACAACACAACCAGCCCCACCGCCACCGTTGGCAACATCCAGACGTTGTCAGACAAGACAGCCGAGTCACGTCGAGCACTGCAAAGTGGGCTGTTTCGGCGAACAAGTCTGCCCCTCCCTAGCAATTCGGCATTGTTCGGGAGCAATAGCGTGAGCAGAAGCACCAGTTTGAATACTGCGGTTGTCGGCAACCCATTGGGGTACGGGGAACAACTGATCAACGGAATGAATGCCAGCATCACCAACAAGAAAGAAGAATTACGTGTGACAGCAACTAATCCAAGCTTTCGATTTCCAGTGCGCCGAGATAGCCTGGTGGGGTTGCGACGTGAGTCTTTCTTGGCAAGTCGAACGAATGGTATGTCGGAAACCTATACGATGGCGAACAACGACATTTCCAGTTCCTTGTCCAACCGTGAAAGCGCTGCCGCTACAAGTGCCAAAACAGCACCCAAGGCAGACCCACCGGCACCCGGGTTGAACGCGCTGGCTGAGGCTTGCTTTCGCTTCCCCGTGCGCCGTGACAGCCTCAGCAATGTGCACTGGGATTGAAGGCCGGCAACGGAACTTACCACGATGGCTGCTTGACTGAAGGAGATATTATGAGATGTGCTTCTCTCTCAAGTCGGTAGGAACTGAATGTTTGCTACCTCGGGCAGGGCTGCATTTTATGGGTTTCAAAACCTTGCCTTTGTACAGGGCTGAAAAGTCTTCATGCGTATGATAGATCACGATCACAACTTTTGAATGTTGTAACTAATAGTGCAACTGATAATTGTAGTAAAACAAGAAGTGGAACAAGCAAATTCCTATTTACCATTCAACTCTCTATCTGCTAGCATAGTGCACCAGCTGTTCGTTAAATAGAGGCTTCCGAGCTGCCTCAATTCTAGACTGGGAGCACGAGAGAGCCACTTTCAAAACTTGGTGATAGCTCTGTTCAGTGTCTTTTTCCATGACCGCTCCTACCGTACGGTACCGTACTGTCCAACTCGTTCATAGCATACCGATACGTGTACTAGTAGCAAAGAGGAAGCAGACACAGGAAAGGAACGGAGATCATGATTGCATTCCCTCCTTACTGTTGTGCGATGGGACAACTCGACTCAAATTGACCGACTACCTCGGGATTGCTTTCCCTGTTTCTTTGCTACGCTTCAGAGTGCTGTTCTCATGGCGTCATCTTGCATCCTGCTCGTTGCTTGGTGGTGGATGGTCGTAGTGAAACATATGCATGTAATCTTTATTCAAGGCTTCCTTGGCAGCTTCATAGTCATCTGGTCGAAAGTTCCCTCGCGGTGGCATGGGTTTGGAGTACTTGATCCATGCCTGAATGAAACCTGTCGATTTGTCGTGACCTGGAGAGTCTGCCTTGGCAGAGTCCAAAATGTAGGTAAAGTTTCGATCGCTTCGAATTTTGCCTCCTACACAGGTGCAGATTTGGGTTGTCGTCTCTTCGGCATGAAACATCAAGTCTTCCAAACGGACAATCAACCGCGGGTACTTGGCATCATCAATGTACATTTTGTACCAATCGTTCCAAAGATGGGCCAGTGAATCCGAGTATTCCGTACGGCCATTGGCAAATTTTGTGGTCACCTCATTCCATTGTCCACGTGGTTTGAGATTGGGACAATTTTGCCCTTTACGGCCGTGGGGCCATTTTGCCGTGTATCCCTAAAGTGGTAGCCAATACATCAAATCAAGTCGTAGTAGATTGAGTTTCTCATTCTGATTTCTGATGTCATGGCCATGCGTTGTCTGACCGGATACTCACATTTTTGCACTACAAGGCAGAAAATACCGTCAGTGAAACTGTTCCCCCAAAAAGAGAAGTAGATTGATTTCTAATGCATGAACTTCCTTACCATGCTGTGCATCCAACTGTATGGATGCCGGATCGTCACTACAGGCATGATCCATTCTTTGTTGATTGCTTTTGCCATTTCTGTGGAGTGTTCCGCCTTGTATTTTGCTGGGGAATGCTTGCCCCATGGTACCTATAGCATATAATGTGAAACAGATCGGTAGAGTCAATTGAGACATCCCACGAATTCAGCTGCTGAGAGGCCATCCGATGCACAATTCTTTTTTCTTCGACCTTACCTGCCATCGCATGCTGCAGAAAATCAAGTGGATCACGGATTAAAAACACGACTTTTCGCTTGTCTGGCCAGTAAAAGATGACATTGACACTTTTTAAACTTACCCATGAGCTTCTCTGGATGCATCAATTCCATACTTTTCGACTCTCTCGGGTATCTTGCAATTGTTCTTGAGTAAATGAGTGACCAGATTTGTGCCAGTATTGAACATGCCACTGCTCCCCAACATGCGTTCCACTGCTGGCACCGTTTGTTTGAATGCTTCGCACGTATCCAATCCCCCAATGACTGGTCTGGGTCCAATGACGCGCACAATTTGCTCCCAGGTGGGCAGTGTCTCGATAACAGTGTTGTTCAGTGGGGGTATCCCAGCTTGTGCAAATACCTTCAAAACGGGAGCTCGACCGAATACTTGTTCTGAGGGAGGTCCCGTCTTGTTTCGTGTCTTCAATACCGGCAGCTTGTGTTGACTGTTTTCGTCTTGAAAGGCAAATTTCCGCTTGGAAGTCATTCTCGACAGATATGAGGGATTATGTTTGCTGACTTTGCCGTGTCCTCCCATGTTGTGACGCTGCCGGTAGCGTAGGTTGAACTTGGACAAACTCAAATCCTTGGATGTCAAGAAGTAGACATCGATAAACACTGTGAAAATGACCAGACTAACCAACAACGCCACCAGTCCCTTGGAATTGGCGCAACCATTACTATTGGTTGACCCAGATGGATTTTTGGGTGGTGGCTTCAGCGTCCTGCTACTTGCTGGTCTGCTTCCATGGCCGTTGGTAGCAGCCATTGTGGGCTCTTGTCTTCAACTCTCAGTCAATGAATGCTCTCAGTCCTCAAGCAACAAGTTGGTTGATCCTCCAGTAATATTATCCAGCGCCAATTTAAAGTTGTCTACCACGGAGCTTTTTGCACCCAACAACCAAGTTGAGAGGTGCGCCAAATGCGCGAATGAAAAGTGGCTCGGGAAGTTAAGGCTTTACCGATTATTGGATTTAACGTGCAAAATTTGTAAAAACGGTGGACCTACCGTACTAGCTAGACTACTGGTGGTACCAGGTACCCGTACGGAAAAACATGCTTCTATTCTAGCTACATACTAGTAGAGCTCTATTTTTGAGATACGATGTAGCCAGCTAGTAGGGGGCCTGCAGACCAAGTGACACTGGGTTGGGGCTAGTAGCTACCGGTACGGGGATTCGATTTTTGGTGTGTTACATGTATTAGATTTTCTGGCAATAAGTCCAATGTGCCCAAGAGAGTGTTGTTGCATACGGGTTTCATGCTGATAACAAAAATCTTAGGAAGCCTGGCTTGTTTTGCTTGCGTCTTGAAACTTGTAAAGAAGTCTCGGAGGTGGTACAGCACACGTTAAGCAGGTATCCCAGTCACAAATTCTGCATCCATACATTGGGCTACCCCCCTCCATAGCCCTTCCACATACATCACAGTGGAACCACTTATATGTTGTAAAGTGATGCAATGCCAGGTGCTGTTGTGAGCATTGTATTGGCACATCAACTTCAGATGAGTTCCATCCTCTAAGTGGCGGGAAATCTTGATTTTCCACTGCCCTGACTTTGTAGAAGTCAATATCCTCATCAACATCCACATTGGCAAAAGAGGAGATCTTAACACACCAACTTGCTTCATGGAAGGCGAAAGCAAAGGCATGCTGTCGGCCTTTGTAGGGGCCTTTCATAACATATGCGGGCTTGCCATTGTGCGATCCATCTTGTATGTACACTCCATTCACAGCTTCTGCCCCAGCTCCTTCTACTTTGATTGCCTTTGGGATTCCTGCACCAAAGGGCTTTTCAGAAACCCACCCTACCTTCCGAGGAGTCTGAAAGGATTTAGATGGCAACAGTTTCTGCATTGTGAGTGCCTGGCTCTTGTATACATCATTTAGCTGCTCAGAGGTAACCAAACCCGAAGAAGCTACTGTTGTAGTCAAGAATTCAGGGTCAATCTTTTCAAGGGAAATATGCTTGGAAAGGCACACTCCTTCTGTCTTTCTTTGACTGGGGTCACCTTCAACCCAGAGGTGTAAAATCTGGAACAATTCACATTCTGCCATTTTTGTCTCTGAGTCTGTAAGGATTTCCTCCATGATAACCTTGCTCAAAGAGGCCACTTGCTTGACTGACACTGGTTTAGCTGAGGTTTCACGGACCCAAGCTTTTGACGTTTCCATGAATACCTCTAGCACTCCGTCACCTGCCATTCTGCATGCTTGCAAGGCAGCAAATGACAAGCATGGCTGCATGGTTAGCATGGTTTCAAATGATGTCAGAACCAGATCTCCAAGGCCTGCAAGATTGAAGTAGGAGGCAGCCTCTGCCAATGACACCAGTGACTCAATCTGTTGAATGGAAACATCAATGCCTTCTGCACCAGACACCTTTCGCTTCTTGCAGTTGAGAATTTGTGCTGAACTTGTAAGCACAAATTCCACCACTGCCTTTAGCACACTTCCTGGAAAGCCAAGCTCAATGGCTGGTGATGATGCCTCTTGAAACTTGCCCAGCAGCATGCCTTTAAACACATCAGATCGTGCTGACAGTAAAAAGCGGTTGGCTGGAACTTCCACACCATCTGTTCCCTTGAGGATGACATCATTGAGGCTGTCATCTGTCAAGAATCTTTCCAGCATCTCATCAGGAGTCTCGCAGTAGGCTACCGGAAGCTGTCGATTCTTGATAGTTGCAGCGTTCTCTTCTGCCATGGTCACTGTTGATTCGATTCGACTCGACTCGATTCTTCTTGTTGCAGGGCAGAAAATGACTGTTTCTTGGGCCCCAGCCATTTGTTGACGAGAGCGTGGAGCCAGCCTTGCACGGAGTGTTTCCGATTGCAATCAACGCCCCGTGGATAGGCCAACTTTGGCTCCAAATCATCGTGGCTGGTCCCGAACAGTCGAATGTTTGGCCTTGCGCGTGACAGTGGTGCTGAGCACTTAGCCGGCTTATGCTAACCTGCTTCGCCAAAACTCGTCTTTTTCGCTTGAAAGGCGAGACAAAGATGATCGTGCTGGTGAATTTTGATTGCACTGATGAAGGTAGCTACACAGAGCGGCAGTTTGACTGTATCTACCATGACAAATTCTAGACGAGGGCAATGGCTTCGAATAACTTCGTTCTTGATCTTTGTCGTCCTCGCAGTTGACCATATCGTGATCATGCCTGGGCTCTCGTCATTGGTATCTCGACATCTCGACACAGCCGATGCCATTTTCCCAGGAACGAGACATCACTCACTCAAGAAAGTTCTACAACAATATCAAGAGGAGGTCAATGTCAACCGCGAAAGCAAAGGAAGGCCCATTACGAAGACAACCGAGAATCTTGCCACAGAGGTTCGTGCTTACGATTTCGTAAAAAATCGTCTCGAGGCCGAAAACCACAACAGACAAAAGAATACATCCTACATGTACAACAATACAAATCTTCGATTATCTCAAACTATCAAGAACAAAACTGATCACAAGTCGAACAAGCCTGGACGAAAGTTTGCGTTGAAGCTCCCGAGCAAGACAAAACATGTCCAGACGTACGAGAATATAACAATCAACGATCCATCAATTCTCAAACTACGAGACATGGGGGTTTCTATTTCGGAGAGTGAGATGAACAAAATTCCAACTTGGGCTGAAATCACGGATCATCTGGGCAAAGAGCCCGTGATTCTCGGCCTCGAGACCTGCGAAGCATACCGCAAGGCCGTGGCTGCCAAAGATCGTTACGTGGCTCCGACTGGTCAATTCAATACGGGAACCAACCTGCTTCCTATTGCACTCGATTACAACTGCCAGCTTCCTCGCAAATCAAAGCTCGCCACGGTTCCGTGGGGCAAACATAATTTGGTGCAAGCGCGTCTCGACGGCTACCGTATCAACAAAACGCAGTACGACAACTATCGCAATGAAGACGTACTCCCCGTCGTCATGGTTCGGCATCCTCTATCTTGGATGTTTAGTACTTGTGTCCATTCATATTCGGCTCACTGGGCGCACACCCTTGACAATTGCCCTCACTTGACAAATGGCACCAGTGATGGCGCCGCTCTCAACCCAGTCCACATGAAATATGGGTATCATCCTCCCAATCAAAAGTATCATCGATATGATAGCTTGATTCACATGTGGCTGCATTGGTATCAGGGTTATTCCAAACCAGATCTTCCTTTTCCACGGCTCGTGGTCAGACTCGAAGATCTGGTGTACCACCCGGACAAAGTCGTGAAATCCATTTGCACTTGTGCCGGCGGGAGACTTCGCCACTCCAAAGTGTACATGCCAGAAGAGAGTGTCAAGGTTCAGATGGATCGATCTCGTGAGAAAAAGGGGATGAACGGAACGTTGGCAAATGGCAGGGAAACTGCAGGGTTCTTGAAAGCTTGGATCGATCATGCGTCCACGGGATCCTTGTGGCAGCGAATGACACCGATGGATCAACATTTTCTTCTGAAGATGTTAAGGGACGATCCTTCCAACCAAATGAAACTGTTCCATTACAAAATATAGAGGGGAAATAGATAGTGTATTAGAGTAAAGCTATAGTTACAAGAGGTTTGTGAAACCTTTGTATTATGGGTACCTGTATACGGTAAAGGTACCCTCAGTATTTGTTTTTGTTCGAGGGTTCCGTGGTCACGGTTTCGCCGCCAAAGAAGACCTTTAGTCGAATGAGTCGAGGAAAAACTGCTTTGATGAAGCTTTCGTTCTCCCCGCTTTTCCCTCATTCTCTCCCTCAACCTTCAACGCGTCCTTCGTCTCGTCTGGACCTTCTCTGGACTACTTGTACAAGTACCACAACAGCAGTTCATTGGTTGTGCAAAAGGGGGTCTCTGCAGTCTATTGCTTATTGCAGTTCAGCAGCTACTAGCTTGTGCTTATTGTTGGTGGGCAGCCGACCCAAACTTTCTGCAAAGCTGAGAAAATACCCTCGAAGTCCATGTATTGGAGAGGCCCTCAAAACTCCTTCAACCGGCATGAACTTCTCAAAGAACCCTTGGATCTTGGCTAGCGAATGAAGCTGGCGCTCCACGATACATGTACTGACGAACAACAACAACCCATCAATCAACGATGAAAAACAACACCCGACAACAATCGCGAACGCTACAGCGGAACAACCTCGACAACAACAACAACAACAACAACAACAACAACAACAACCATCATGTCTGCTTCATTGGTTTGGGTTCAGCTCTCCTATGATGGAAAGGGTGAAGAGGGCAATCCTATTCCTATTGAAGCATCGGAAGTTAAATATGGAGGAATTATTGCTGGCTTGGCAGAGGCCGTTAAAAGCAAAATGGCGAATGCTCTCGTCCATTGTGATGCTGCTAAGCTTGTTGTCTACCCACCGAAATCTTCTGGTGACGAGAACAAAAATATAAATCAGGCAAGAAATTGAAAGAGGTGATTCAGGAATTGGAGAAAAAGACCCCGCCCACATCCGACGATCATCCCTTGGTTGTGGTCGCACCCGCTCCACCAGAACAGCTGCAGCAAGGTCAACAAGATGAAGCTATCAACGAATTAGTGACGGCCGTGAAAGGTTTGGGGCTGTCCATGCATGCGATGCAAGAGCAACTACCGTCTGTCATTTTGGGGTATGTGGTTACACCGTCCACCGCTTCTCGAGACCGCAAGGTCTCAGCCAAAATCTTCGAAGCTGTGGGTTTGCCACTTAGGCCAGTAGAAGATTCAGACGAATATTCTCTGCCTGAAACCCTAGCAAGCGACAGCCGATGGAAATTTAGTTGGGCGTGGAGCACAAATGAGAATGATGACAGGGTACTTGAGCGTACCTCCTATGCACCAGTCCTCCAGTTCCTTCGCAGTCTTGATATACTGGCAGAAGACGTGTCGGATGGACAGCACTGCATAGAAAAAATTCTATACAATTCGGAGATCTATACTCAGCGAAAACAGAATCCACTGCAAGTCAGAGGACAAAGAGTGTTTAACTGGCATCGGGTTGTTGGAAGGACAGATATTGTTGCCTTGACTCAAGACAGAAACAGTGGAGATATCATTCGAAGCATGGTGAAATTTGCAGTTGAAATAAAAACAACAGAGGGCTTGCGAAGGTCACAAGATGGATGTCTGTTTGAAGCACAACTTCAGTTGATCGGGCTCAATGCATTCAATGTGTTTGTGTCACCACCAGTGGTGCTGACCAACCTCGTGAGGACTCATCAGGTCTTGTATCTTGCCTACAAAGACGATTGTTGGGGGTATGTGATCAGAAGGAAAAAATGTAGCTCGTTTCCTGCTGCTATCCATTTTGCTCAACAAAAGGGATCCGAGGCTTCAATTTCCGACGATTTCTCGCGGCCAATGACACCGGACCCAGAAAGCATCTAGCTAGTGATACGGGATGATCATCCCTTGATTGTGGTGGCACCCGCTCCGCACCTTGCAATGAAAAGGGCAGCTACACAAGGCATATCAGCAGAGTTTCCCTGTCCAATGACACCACCATCCATGGAAATGAACGCCCAATTCTAATCACCAACATTAATCAGAGCGAGCATTAGCGCATTGCCTCTTAGTTTCTCTGGCTATTTGTCCAACACTCCAATCCTAATGGGCTATTCCAACCCTTATCCTTAAGGGTGGACCGAAGTGGGTAAACTCCAGTATTGCCCCACTTCGGTCCACGCCCCCCTACTGTTTTACTATACAAAACAGCTGAAGTGGACCGAATATTAAGTAGACGCGATTAAAAACCTAAAAAGACTAAAAAAGACTTAATATTCGTTTTCCTGTAGCTGTAATTTCCTTTTTGGTCTGTTTTTATCTTGTTTCCGCTAGTGTTCCAATAGCCCTCGGCCACGGTCCCCTACTGTTTTACTATACAAAACAGCTGAAGTGAACCAAATATTAAGTAGACGCGATTAAAAACCTAAAAAGACCTAAAAAAGACTTAATATTCGGTTCTCCTTAAGCTGTAATTTCCTTTTTGGTCTGTTTTTAGTCTTGTTTCCGCTAGTTTCCAATAGCCCTCGCGGGATTGAGCCTCCATTAGCTTGCGGCAATTGAGCATTCCATCAAGGGGGGCCGTGGCACAAACAAGCCTTGCGGCGTATGAGCCATCATACTAGACAAAGTAGAATAGGTTGGGCTGTCACTCTGTCACTCCCCTTTCTTGTGTAGTAAGCAACTAGCCTGTAGTGTAGTATAGTCATTCGTGTAGAGCCCTAGCCTAGGCCTTGGTATAGTGTCAGTGTAGCAGATGCTTAGTGTAGTTTAGTCATTCGTGTAGACCCCTAGCTTCAAGTGCCAAGGTCCAAAATTGTTTTTTTTTGTCACTCTGTCACTCGTCCTCTAGTAAAGCCCCTAGCCTTAGTGTAGTAGTAGTGTAGCCTGTAGTGTATAGTGTAGTCATAGGCCTTAGTGTAGTGTTAGCCATTCGTCTAGAGCCCCTAGCCTCCAAGTGCCAAGGTCCAAAATTGTTTTTGTCACTCTGTCACTCCCTCTCTTGTGTAGTAAAGCCCCTAACATTGGTGTAGTGTAGTGTAGTGTAGTGTAGTGTAGTGTTGTGTAGTGTAGTGTAGTGTAGTGTGTGTAGTGTAGTGTAGTGTAGTGTAGTCAGTAGGCCTTAGTATAGTGTCGGTATGAAATTCTATCGGTTCGGTATGAAATTCTGTCGGTATGAAATTCTGTCGGTATGAATTCTGTCGGTATGAATTCTGTCGGTGTGAAATTTCTGTCACTGTGTGAAAATTCATCCAACCCATCCAACAGCCACCACAAAAGAATGTCACCAACAGGGCCCCAAGCTTTGAATTGGTATTTCACACTAAACAAGTATACACCAGCAAATGTTGATCGTTTATCCAATCTCCACCATGGGCTGGGACGGAGTACCATGGGATGGAGTATTTGATATTCGTGCAAAAACACAACACCTCAGGTATACCATGCTTAGAAGAATTCATCCGTTTTCGAGATCGGAAGAGACTCCATCAGGTTATCACCATCACAGGCCAAACCCGTTGCGCTGTTGCACAGCATCCCCTCCGCCTCATACAGCGTTATAAGGGAGGTGATTTCACTGAAATAGGAACACCTCCTAAAAAAGGACAAGGATCAAGAACAGATCTTGAAAGGATCAAAGAAAAAACGCAAAAAACACAGACGGAACTACAAAAGTTCTACCCACCAATCTACAACCCCCAGAATCAGGATGATACAACCTCATCAGATGATGATACAACCTCCCCTGAAGATGATGATATCGTCGGACCCCGACCCCAAGAAAATCTTGAGACGACACCAAGTGTCTGGACTAAGCTGAAAGACTGGTTGTTACGCCTCTTTTAAATGCTCACTCTCATCTAATAAACGAACTAATATATGGATAATTAGCACTGAACATGCCACTCTGTCTGACTACCTGATAATGATGGACTTCATGCAACGTGGGTTTGTAACTGAAGCTTTTGCTGTGTTCAGTCACTCCTTCCATAGAATGCAGCTATGCTTGCTGATCCACCAGGATGAGGAGGTAGATGTCAAACCCTGGTTCCCAAATTACACAACCAACCACTACGACGATGAACTAATTGAGCTAGATCAACCTCTGACTATATCAAAGGATGCATGTTGATGAGCATATCCAGTTGCGATCTCATCCACACCAAGAACCTGAAGAACACAAGGAGCCGCCTATGTGAACGGCTAGGTATCACTATACCAGCCACGTCAGTAGTTGTTGAAATTTTTTATTTTTATTTTTTAATCAAAATCCTGACAAATTATCAGGAATAATCAACAAATTACTTCCTTTTTACTCTATATACTCGCAAATTGTATAACCGTAATTCGGAACAAAGCACCTATCACCAATAATGACACCCTCCCCATACCTATCATCCTCATCACAACTTGCTGCATAATAGCCAGGCCGCAGCTCATGATCATGCATCTTCTTGCAATAAGGACATTCAATATTTCTAGTTCCTTGTCGTCTAAGTGCAATAGGAACACGGTAAAACCCCTGTAAGTACTCCCTCATCTGCTCCAAGCTCATGGGAATCCCATCGGCAACAGGGTCAACATTCTCCATGGCCGGTCCTTTTTTTATCCGCTCCTCTGTCATCTTTCAGTTTGAAATAATCAGTAAGCTTTGTCTGCTTCACAGAGTCTTTATAAGACTTAGTCTTTGCAATCGGATGTTGCACTCTCCCAGTGCTAATCTCCCATGAATTAAATCTAGACAAATGATTCATCCCATGGAATTATACCTAATAGTACTTCTCATTTTTCCTCATCCGAGAGGTTCCTCCACTCTCTTCCCAAGACCTTACCAAGTTCTCCAAATGAGAGATCAGGGTTCTCCTCTTTAACTTACTTCATGATAATGCTGAGAAACATACAGCATACCGGTATACCCCCTCAACGGCCTAATACATGCTTCCTTCCTCTCCTTGTAAGGTTGATGAAATGGTATAAATACCACGGAAATTGCCTCTCAGATACCGAGCAAACAAGACATATTTTTAAGATAATTAGGAATTCATAGGATTAACAGTACTGCCTCTACCCTGGACAGCCAGGGAGCCACCATGGAATTAGTACACTCGGTCCTCCAGTTAGAGTAAGGAAAACTCATGGCCTGTGGTTCGATACCTGGTAATGGCTCACAGGATTTAACCTCCACCACGAGAGAAAGCTAACATTGTTCCGGAACGTTCCCTAGAGTATGCCTAGTTAACTAATACAGTCCTCCTCATCGTTTAACAAGCCTGCAGTTGACATTCCTGCAGGGCTCCACGGAGGAATACGACAATTAAGCAAAGGTGCCCCTTGAGTACCCCAATGCTCCGTAGTATATGATTCGTTAGGAGGCTTGGAACCTGAACTCGAACACCAGTTCCGGGGGAGTTAAGGTCTTTCATTCCCGGTAACCTTGACCATTCCGAAAATCGACTTGGGGGGAGAAGTTCACCTCCATCGGTGAGTCAAGTCTCACTCGTAAATAGTATAAGACGTTCACTAGATAACATAGTAGTCGTGCTCTGGGGGAGTTAACAACTCTCCACCGTGACTGGGTATGGCGAACAACTAGTGAATACGTCTAAGTCCTTCAGAAGGCTCTCCCACACCTAGCCCGTGAGTTAAGAGAAGACTAGCTAGTAAAGCCTACCGTACTAGTATCCCAACAGTCAGTTCACCTGCACAGTGTGCAGAACATCGTACCGTTAGTATCACTCGTACAGTACGTTCCAGCATAGTCCCAGGAATTCTTCACCGTTCCTGGGGGGGCGAATACTGCACAGAAAGAGAACACGTACCTCCACTGACACGTACGTACCTCCACTGACGTACTCGAGAACCCGAAGAACCCTTCCAACATGATTTCGAAGGCTAGCGCTTGAGTACAGGCAGCGCTAAAGCGTAAATAAATACCTGCATACACACCAGTACATGCAAATTAGTGCTGGGTGTCACCAACTCCTTGAGCTCAGGAGTCACATCTCGAGGAACCTGCAGAGTTGTTCGGCAATGGGGGAGTGATGAAATGGTATAAATACCACAGAAATTGCCTCTCAGATACCGAGCAAACAAGACATATTTTTAAGATAATTAGGAATTCATAGTCCTTACAAGGACAAGAACAATTGTCATTTGCAGTTTTCACCATAGCTCCACAATTACTCATGACATCAACCCCGGAGAGAGGAGCTGCTGCACCGGACGAACACCCACCTACCAAAAAAATGCTGTTCGAACTTGAAGATTTCATTTTTGAATAGGAGAAATTAAAGCAAAGATATCTAGGTATGTGCCATGAAGGTGTCACAGAAGATGATGATTTCGAACGGGAGTTTAGCAAAAGGATACTTCAGACTTTAGAATATTGTTGGGTGAATCTAGGCTGGCGTCCCAATCCATTTCAAGAGAGAAAGAGAGGAGCTGCTGCGCCAGACGAACGCTGACAACCTAATAGCCTTATATGTAAGCTAACGTTCTGAGTATCCGTAAGCTAACATTCCGAGTATCCGGAACACCTCACTGACGTAGCTAGATCAACAAAGAAAGATCTCACCGCTAATCGCATTGGATTTCACCGGTTTGTTCACCGGTTAGCACCACGACTAAAATGTGTGATACCCGTCAGTTAGGTTTGGTTAATTAGGTTAACCCTAACGAAATCCCTCAAGACATCGGTCCATGGGTTCACCATTTTGCACCGTGCACCTCGCAGTAAAGGAGCTTTTCAACTAAAAAATTAATATTTTCCAGAAAGCTAAGTAATTTTGTACTTGTTCTTTTTTTAGGACTGAGAAGCCTATCTTCCAAAGAACACAGGCTTTAAAGCCTGGATTCCGGGCTTTGAAGCCAGTGTTCCACGGAAC